TTAAATCAGCAGTAGGGTTTAAAATAATCATGGGGTGGCTTGACTTTTCAATTTCGCATCGCAATTCAAAACAGGTTTCGCCTCAATTCACTCTTAATTTTTTTTTAGCTTATTTTTTTTTGCGATCTACCGAGATTTTGCGTCATTTTGAGAATTAACAAATTGTTGAGACTTTGAATCTTCGTGAGAAACAGCTCCGAGATGTAAATAAGCAATGCAACTTATTTTAAATTATATTAGTTTGCGTCTGGATCGAGTGAGTGACGCTCCGGAATGTGGAGATAAAAAAATAGCGTTTTAGACCTGTTTATTAGTTTGTTTACTCTCAGCGAAGTAATTTCTGGAGAATTTCCCGTGGCGACGCGGAGTATGGCGTGAGTCACGGGGATGACGCAGGAAAAAAATTCCCCGTCTCCTGCGTGCGAGTCGGCAGGTGATAACCGGGGTCGTATCGGTCGTGACGTCGTTTGTCGCCTCGGCGGAGTCTTCGTTTGCGTTTTTCGTGTGTTGCTTCGAGTCGGGCGTCTCCTGGGATTCCTGGAAGAACTTCCTGGATGTACTTCCCGGAAGCACACCCTGGAAGCACTTCCCGGAGGTTCCCTCCGAGAACCAGAGAGAGAGAAAAAGGGCGGGAAGTCTCACCTGACTGACCCTATCCCAGCCGTACTGCCGAAACCGTTCGTCGAAGAGGGGCGCGGAATTCCTGACGATCACGAAGGGCTCGTACATGTACTGCCACTGGATCTCGTACGCGACGGCGATCCCCTCCGTGGGAGGGAGTCGTCTCCACCTCTGGTAGTCCGTCGGTCCCTGTAAATACGCGGGTGGAGGAAGCAACTGGGAAGAAGCACCGGGAGGAAGCACTCGGGTCTCACCTGCGTGAGCGAGGATATGGCGGCGTAGAAGGGTCGGATGAGACCTCCGTCCCAGAGATCGAGGAGTTCCGACTTGTTTCTCGGGACGGCGACTCCCTCCCTCGCCTCGAACGCGGGAACGACGTAGGCGATCTTCTGCCTCGCCGCCTCCAAAGAGAAGAGGCGTTCCCTCTTAGCGAATCGCAGGAAATCCTCCCTCATGCCCGGATCGGGAAGAAAGTCCGCATCCACGACGAACACGAACTCGGTCCGTGCCGCCCTCCGACCCACGTTCCTCAGCAGATTGTGCGGGTACTGCACGTCCCGACGGGCGTAGTTCGTCCTCGCGTTCTGCGCCGCGGCCACCGCAGCCAGGACCGATCGGCACGGGAGTTTCTCCTCGAAGGCTTGCGTCTGGACGTCCGGCTCGTCCGCCGTCAGTCGGACGGGGAAAACGAGGTGAAAAGTCACGTTCTCCGACACGACCGGGTGGATCTCTCGGAGGCACGCGATCACGCGCAAGGTCGCGTTCGCGTTCGCCGGCGTCGACGTGAACACCGCCAGGGAAATCGGGCCCTGCGAGAGAAGATGGACTCGGCATTCGTTCCGCGAATTTTTCCGCGCGCGGGATCGTTCCTGGAATTCGCGTGCGGCGGAATATTCGTGATGGACTCGAGGAAAAAAGGACAAATCGAGTACGTTTAGGCTTACGCCGATC